CAAGAACATTAAGTAAATTACTTACCTGAATTAGTCACGTTGTATGAAAATGCCTTGTTTGCTTAAGTACATCCACACAGGCAGTCTAAGCAATAATAAAATCTCTAATCTAAAATAGGCCATAAATTCTCAAAGTTTGAAGATAATGTCTCCAACATTCGCCATTAAAGTCCTTTGCAATACCTTATATAAACTAGGAATTGATAATGCAATACCTGCAGTCATCATTACATATCTGACATTTTAAAATGGCATTGGCATTTTATTTACAAAATAAAAAATGTAAAAATAAGTCATCACAAAAAACCCCAAATCTCACATTTTAACATTCTTGACTTACGTCTTAAGATTTTTAATATTTCCTATTTTAAGATATTTTGATGCCTCATGATACATGGTGCCCTAATACTTTTAATGTTACGTAGTAGTAGAATAGATTTATAAAATTTATTTGCCACTCATCTCATTTTAAAGTGATTATTCTCACAAACTAGTTGTGTAGACCACAAACTATTACCTTAATATTTTGAACATTTTGAAATTATCTCCCCAGAGAAACTCACTTGCTGCCTAGAAGTGTAATTTCCCAAATTTGCTCAATATTTGATTTATGAAGATTTTGGAGTTGCTATTGGTTACTTGTTTCAGTTTCGCATGTAATGTTATACTTGGCTTGTAAATGATTGAGATAAATACTGAGCTGAGGAGTCACTGGCTTTATTGGAATATGGAAATGGCTTGGTATGATCTTTTCAAATATTTTTTTCCTATTCTTCTGTAGGCTATACCTTTAGAATTTCTTGGTAATCTCCAATGCAGTATTCACAGGTCCAACTCTTCTTAGATTTTAACGGTTAGCCAAAATCAGGTATATATTGCTACTTCCTATTGGGTGGTTACAATAATAATAATAATAATAATAATAATAATAATAATAATAATAATAATAATAATAATAATAATAATAATAATAATAATAATAGTAAAGTTGGAAGGGACCTTGAAGGTCATCTAGTCCAACCCCCTGCTCAGGCAGGAAACCCTATACCATTTAGGACAAATGGCTGTCCAGTCTCTTCGTAAAAACTTCCAGTGTTGGAGCATTCACTGCTTCTGGAGGCAGGTTGTTCCACTGGTTAATTGTTCTCACTGTCAGGAAGTTTCTCCTTAGTTCTAGATTGCTTCTCTCCTAGTTGTTTTAATATGCATATATGTGTCTGTAAATCAGATTTTTATTCCTGGCAACCGTCTGGACAAATCCCCAGAGTTTTGTTAAGATTTTCAGAAGTTTGCCCTTGCCTCTTTCCAAGGGTTAAGAGAAACTGGCCCAAGGTCACCCAGCTGGCTTTGTGCCTAAGGCAGGACAAGAACTCAGGGTCCCTCAGTTTCATGCCTGGTATCTTAACCACTGCAGCACACTAGCTATCATTACTTACATATCCCACTCCTATGATACAAAACTGCATTTACTACTATTTTCACTTTTAAACCAAGAGGACTCCTATAAGTTTACAATGAATTACTGGAGTCTTTCTCTTTCAGAGCAAAAATTATTTCTGTCTTGAAATGCCAAGAGTGATAATTAATCTGAAAAGTGTTATTTCAATAAATACAATGTTCAGAGTGAGTGATGGACCCAGTGGCAACCAACTGACTTTGTGCCTGAGGGGGGGGACTAAAACTCAGTCTCCCAGTTTCTAGCTTAGTGCATTCATTGCTACACCAAACTGGTTCTCTACAGATCAATTACCCAGTATTTCTGCATGCTAGTACACCATTTTTTCCTCCTCCTTTACTATTTTTTTCTAGTGGACAAGAGCTTTTCCATTCAGAATAGCTTGCATAAAGCATCAGCTTTCTGTAAAACAAGTAGATAAGATGAGAAATTATTTGACCAAGAGCCTAAATGCAACGTAGGTAGGGATGAGTTTTGATAAAAATGCCAAATTGCACACTTTGTCCTAGAAAGCACAACAGTGCATTTATTTCAGACAAAATATTTATATAAAATAGGTGGGGCACATAAACATGCCCGGGACAGAGGTTACTCCTCTGTCCTTGTTCTTTTGGACCTCTCAGCGGCTTTTGATACCGTGGACCACGGTATCATGCTGCGGCGTCTCGGTGGGTTAGGAGTGGGAGGCACCGTTATGCGGTGGTTCTCCTCCTTCCTCACCGACCGTACGCAGTCTGTATTGGCAGGGGGACAGAGGTCGACTCCTAGACCCCTAACTTGTGGGGTGCCTCAGGGGTCGGTCCTCTCTCCCCTTTTGTTCAATATTTATGTAAAGCCGC